CCATAGGACTACACACAAAAGATCATGCTCAAAAACATTTCAGCTATTTAGTGTTCAGGTGAACTGGAATAACTTTTACTTGAAATAACAAACATGTCAAAAAAAGTTGTTTTCCAACTACAACTAAGACCAAAGTAAAATCATTTACTGTGGAGCAGAAACAGCACAAACAGGGCTCTGAAGGAGTGACTTACAGCTAAGTGTATTGCCAGCTCCTGTTAGTTTTACTCCGAGTCTTATGATAGTTGGATCTTTTCCTAGAGCAACAGCTTCAGCATTCAAACAACACAATAAGGATCTTGGCTTTGACTTAAAAGTAAAAAAGGACCACCACATAACAGAAAAGAAAATCTTGGTAGCAAAATGAAAACACAATCCCTAAGAGCTTCAGTATGAAATAATGAATTTAAAATACTTTTTTAATACTACTATTTTAAGACAGACTTGGGATCTTCAGGGGCCCAACTCATCCATTTTGAAAGCTTGGTTTCAGCAACATCAACGAATTGACTGAAAATCTGTCGGGGAAGTGACTGGGAAAAAAACCTGCATTAATCACAAGAAATGAAAATACAGAAGAGAGCAAACAGAGAAGATGCTTAGGTAGCTACATATATATGGGGCAAATACTCATTAAGTTATTACTACTCTGTGAATACAAAATAAATCACTTGTCCACTAGGAGAAACAGAGCAGGCATAATATTGTAATACTCATGAGTTAGTCTAGATGCTTCCTTTGGAAATGTTTCACAGCATGACCTGTTACCTGGGTGTCTCAAAAGTCTCCTTCTCAATTACACAGCTGCCCACAGCAATAACACACATATTTCAAATTATTCCCTTAGATCACCATATACCAGCACAGCTCTTCTCCTCCCCAGAGAAAACCAAAAATGGAGGCAGACATTGAAAGTGAAGAGAAAGGGCCTGGAGGGCTATTTCTGCCTCAGAGCATGCCGGTGGACACTGTAATACAGCTACTGTCTCAAGAAAAAAAAAACAAAACCCAGAGGAAGAGCACTAAAGAACTCTGAGAGCCCCACTTTCTGCTTCATCTGGTTAAAGTGCCAGATTTGCATGTTGCAGCACATAACCTAATGTGGAAAATACCAATCTGTTGTTCAGTTGGGTTGTTTTAGAAAGACAATTCTTACAGTAGCTATGGTGATTGCCTGCTCGGCTGGACAATGGCACTGCTGGCTGGGGCAGCTCTGCTGCTGACCTTGGAGCACCCTGAGCCTCCAGAACAAGGTTCTCCTGGGTCACTGTGCACAGCCACAGGGTAAGCAGCAAGGCAGTGATATCCCATGTGACAGGAAGCCTGTGTGGACTGGTGAGCTGCCAAAAATTCTGGAGAGGCAATCTGGCATGCAAACAGAGTGAAATGGTGAAGGCAAGGGGTAGGAAACAGTGATGACAGGTCACTTAAGCTTCTACCTTTTCAGCTAGTCCCTTTTGACCCACTTCCTCCCTGGCTGCAGGTGACATTGACAGCTGTTTTCCAGCTCAGCACAGCGGCTGTCAGTCGTTGCCTCTGTCACTCATAAAGTTTGACAAGTTTCAGAGCTGATGAGCCCAGCACCTTCAACATTACACAGGAAACCTCCGTCTCCTCCATGCCACAGCTACTATGGAGAGACACTACGAAATCAGCATTTTAAGTTACCGGGAAGAAGAATCAAAGCTATGTCCTAACTAACTATAAAGAGAAAGCAATCCACAAGGAACTATAGTAGAAGAAAACCACAGCAAACATTTGCTACTATATCTTAAATCCTCTCTGTAAAAAAATTTTTAAGAAGTTTGCAGTGTAACAAATATCCACCCCTACAGTTAGCCTGTTCTGAACATCAAACTGGAATAGAGAGAAATGGGGTATATGAAAACTGTTTTGCTTAGTGACAATATATAGTTGTCAGTTCACTTTCTTCACTGAAATTCTGAAATTAATCAGTATCTGCTTCTTGGTAAACAGACTCATAATCTATGTAATGATCTGTATTACATGGATTATAGATTACATGTTCTACAAAGGGCTTTTTTTTTTTTGATTGATGCTGAGGACCAAAATTAAATGTCACGATGGAGGGAAGAACTGTTGACGTATTTATATCAGGGTCCTTCAGGACATCACTATTTCCCCAGCGTACAGACAAATGGAACAAGTGCCACATCTGAAGTTGGTGGCCTTATGACCTCAGCTCTTGGGGGTCCAGAGTCTCTGTCATGACTTATAGAGCAACTATTCGTCCAGAGTCTCTGTCATGACTTATAGAGCAACTATTCAAGACTAATCATGTATGCCACTGATATACAGGCACAACGAGCCAAAAGTACATGACCTTCCCAGCAAGCGTCTTTGAAATGCAAAGGATCTGACTGCTTAGAGAAGCAGAGCCTCTTTAGTTTAATGAAAAGCAAATTTCATTTCTTCCCATGAAATTGTTGCCACAGTATATTACTTGTTTTCAAAATTATCCAGGAGTTTTGTGTTATTTAACAACATTGGCAATTTTAGAGCTTAAGTATCTGAAACTGATAATAAGTTGTTCTACCCCCTCTAATCTCTAATAAATACAACTTACTCCATTAACGTTCATGTGATATTGTTTTCATCACACAGCACTCGTCCACGCAGAGTCAAGGACCTAATCAAATACATAATCAATCAACCTGCTTGTCAGACACAAACAGCAAGCAAAAGGCTTCTTTGTGTCCTCCACAATTGCCTTTTTAGAAAACAAGTGAACCATTGGTCTGTAAGAACATGCAATACATCAGTAACGCACAAGGAGCCTGAATGCTCCCTGTGGCGCTGTGAAGAAACCTTGTGACTGAATTCCAGAAGAGGAACATTTCGATGAGTTCCTCAGATTGCCCTGACTGCTGCTTTGGAATTACACAGTATGGATTTTTTTTTTAAAGCTGGCTGCAATCACTGGAGTCAAAAGCTTCTCACAAGTTAACAAAAGTAAGCAGCTCTTTGGCTTTAGCACCACTGAGCTCTCACAAACTCTGTTGCTACAGAATTCCACTCCTTTCTGCAGAGCAGAAGGGAAAGCAACAAAACAGCTTAACAGTTTTTAAACATCTCTCTTGGATTCCCAAAGACCAACAAGAGAGATACATGACATCCATCCTTGTTTTGCCTCATTTCCTGGGGGGGACAGCAACTACTTCTTGAGATTCTCAAGATGCTGCAACGAGACTGAGGTGTGAGCAATTTATGTGAGCAGATGTGCCTATATCCTTTCCTAACAGCATCAGCCACAATACTTTACCATTGTTACACTGTAAAAAAGCTCCAGAAAAGCAAACACAATGCATACCTATTAAAGCATTAATATATACTACATAACTAAATAACTTTAATGTACATATAAATTGCATTATACAACTTGGATCCTACTCCTACTTGGTAAGAGTATGTTTACCATGAAACCTTCAGCACTGACAGTCCCAACTGATGATCTGAAGTAATTAATTTTGCCAAAATTAATCTTTAAAAAGTCATTCCCTGTATTTTAGACGAGTGGGGAACACTACAGAGAATCACTTCAAAGCTTTCATTAGCACATGCCAAATAAAATTCAATTGATAAACACTTTTTAAAAGCAGGTGGGAATCCAACCTTATGGTGTATAAATAAATCTCTGTGCAAGTTTCATAGGTCTTTATGACAACACCTTAATCTTCGTTATAAACATTAAATTCAGTCAAATTACTTCTGTAAAATCCATGCACCTTTGGAGATACTACACCTTGCAATTTATTTTGATGTAGTTATGTCAGACATTCCCTGATGTCCCATTTGAAACTTACTCAGTTTTATGTAGAATACTTGTGCAAAAATCCTTACTATATTCATGCAATAGAAATGTGAACAGAGATTAAATAGGGTTCCTGTAAATTTTCTTTATAGCATCTCTTAATAGACTGAAACACTGTGTTAACTAAGCTGAAGAAATTCCAGTATCACAGACTCACAGAATCTATGAATCATTACCACAGCAGCAATTCAACACCTCTGGAAATCACTGTGGCTGGTGCACAAGCAGAATAAGCAATGGCCCATTATAAGGACTGGTGTAGTCTTAAATATCTTTATTTAAATAGACAAAATAAATATTTGATAAAAGATAGCTAACCAAAGTACCACAGTTGTTTGGGGTTTTTTGAAGCAGATACCAAAGTAACGCGAGTGCCACCTCCTGGTTTAAGCATGAAAACACTTTGGGTTGTGCACTTCTACCTGAAGGGTATAGTTTTGGTTTTTTTTTCTTTTTCTTCCCCAACTTTAAAAAATAAATAAAAAAATTGACTCTTCATCTTCAACATTCACAGAATGTTGGAAGAACCAAACAGTTAAACACAAGAAATTAGTAAGATTTGCTTAATGTTATTGCCTGAAGCAAAAATAACTGTATAAATGCTGCACAAGTATTTTTCCCCAAATTTAACTTCACAGATGTCAAATCCTACTAAAACACATGAATGACCACAATTTTAAATAAATACTTAAGTGCAGTGGCTTGAAGTAGTCTTGGTGTTAATGTACTTTTGAGTATATACTTCCAACTCCTTTTTACCTTAAAAAATTATTTTTATCAGTTAAGAGAAATGCATGCATCTCCTAGCCAGGAAGTCACAGAACCTCATAAAGGAAGGCTGAGGAATTCAGTAAACGCACTACTACAAATGGCACAAAGAACTGCAGTCCAGTTTATATCTGCTGCAAGTCAAATCACAAAGTTGTTGAGAAAACATGGGTAAATTTCTGTCCACTCTGAGTTCAAGTATCAGCCCGCACCCTGGGTGATGCCACACTATGTCAAAGTGGCATCACATCCTCTGGACTTTTAAATTTTGTTTCCCAGTATTTTTCAGCTCTCTGTGCCATTTCATACTGCTACATGCCCAAAGCCTTCTTTTATCCACAGGCTAAGAAGCCATGCTAGACAAATGTCATAATTTCACAACCCCACACACTTCTATGTGTTGACTTGCTGTCATAATTCAATCATAACCCTCAAGTATTCTGGAATACGTATGGCAGCTCATATATTTTTAAAATGTAAAACCCCTTTGAACAAAAGCCATTCACGTGCTTTATGTCCCAAAACATTCTTATTCAAATTATGAAGACAGACAGTTATTGCACTTGTATTTTACAGCAGCGAGCACTTCCAGGAGGAAAACCATGTCTCTTTCTGCAGTTGCCATCCCGATACTTTCTTATGCTAAAGCAGTAACAGTTCACGATGTCCATCAGCACTTTATCAATTCCTTGTTTGGCAGAGGTTCTGCAATGACTTCATCACGCATGAACTGCTCCTAAAGACAGCAAGTAAAGTTTTAGATGATTTTCATTATTTCTGGAGCTCCTCTCCCCCACAGAAAACACCAGACACCGATTCTGCTTTCTAGTCTGGGTATAACTGCTATAAATTTGTCTCCCAAAACATAAAAGCCACAGCATGCCCACTAGGTATGAAAAGCAACCTGACAGGTTCACAAGTACAAGGCTACATGTCAGGGTCATAAATACATCTATGCTAGGGTCACAGATAGCTCTCAGAACCGCAGAGATTGTTTTGCCTGTTTTCCGCCCCATGCTCCCACAGCCCTATCCAGTGTGTACCAGGCACTTCTCAAACCTGCTGTCGCGCTTTCTTCAGAGAACAGCGAGCCGAAGCCCGGCTTGGCAGGCCCGGCGCCATGGAAGCAGGCCGCCCCGCGCCCAGCAACCCCCGTCCGGCACCCACCTGATCGTAAATGACGCGCAGGATCAGGGAGCAGCTGGGGCAGGTGGCCACGTCCTCGCCGTTCTCCAGGTCCTCCTGCAAAACCCCCGGGACGGCAGTCACCGGCCCATGCCTGCTCACAGACCCACGGGCCCCGCGGCCTAACACTGCTCCATCCCTCCCCCCGCCGCCTCCCGCGTCCCTACGCGGCCACCATTACCCGCGTGATGAGGAAGCGGTCCCCGCAGGGGCACGGGTAGCTGTAGGTCTCGGTCTCCTCATCGTACTCGAAGTCCTCAATCTCCACCTCATCGTGGAACACCGACATGGCGGCCGCGGGGGGGGAGGCGCGCCGGAAGCGGCGCGGCTGCGGCCGGGACGGGGAGGGGCGGGGCGAGAGACCGGCATCACGTGATGCGTCGGCGGGTAGGGGTCCCGCGGCGGAGGTTGGGGGTCCGTTCGGTTGGGTTCGGTTCGGCTCGGCTCGGCTCGGCTCGGCTCGGCTCGGCTCGGCTCGGCTCGGCTCGGCTCGGCTCGGCTGTGGGACCCTTCTTGGTCTGTTCGGGTGCCAGGGCCGGACGCGCTGTGCGGCCTCTGGAAGCGCTGCAGCCGCTTCCCGACAGGTGCCCTCCTCTGCACGGCCTTGCCTGCTCCTCGTGCGGGAGGCGCAGAGCGGGGTTCTGTGGTAGCTGAGGCGGGGCGGCAGCAGTCCTTGTCAGGACAGCCGCGACCTTGTCAAGGGGAAAAGCTGCTCTGGGTGGTGACCTGTCCAGAGGGGTGTCTCTTACCAGCCTGTGTGCGTGCTCCTGGTGAAAGATTCCCTATCCTGCTTGCTTAAGCGTGCTTGCTTCCCCCTCAGCACTCGCTTGGCTGTAGTTTATGTAGTAATTTTCTCTTTGGTGTGGCACAGGTTAACTAAAAGTAGCTCTCTCCCTTCAGATAATACTGACGTAGGACTGACCAAAAGAAGAGATGCAGTTCTACATCTCAAGCGATACTAACCCAGGGCCAGTGGGTCAGAGGATAAGGAGCATGAGTGAATTGCTTGATTTTACGTGAGGAGAAAAGTCATATACAAACGCAGCACCCATTTCTGTCTGTGGAGGAAAGGAAAGAGGGAGTATTTAGAGTGGCTATTTCTGTAAGGACTTGGGTAAGAAGAGAATAAAACTTAAAGGGAGAACATCCCTCTGGACAGGAGCTTGGGAGGCCGAAGCACTGTGCTTGAAGGGCAGGGAAGTGCTGAGGGGATGGATGAGCAGAGAAGGTTGCAGAGGTGATATGGGGGTGAGGCAGTTCATGCTCTTTAAAGGCATGACTCGTGTATGGCAAAGGAGAACCAGGATTTATTAAAAGAGATTTTGGAATGTATTACTTGCAGAGGAAAAATTACAACTAATTTTTATTGTGACTTTGAGGATTGGAGCGTAATTGATGATAATGTAAATGGAACAAGTATCTTGAACTACTGTTCTAGAGTTATTTTAATTTACGGTAGAGTCTCACTCTTAAAATAGTCTGTATCAATAGGATCTTTCAGGTTTGACTTCAGAGTTGTAGCTGCTACAGTAAAATAAGTCTGACATTTTGTTTTTAGTGTTACGTATTGATATTGAACTTTTGTTTGGGGTTTTTTGCATTTTCATGTGTAGAACTGAACACACTTGCTTCTTCAAGTGGTAGCAGGGGAAATGAAAATGAGGCCGGCCTTAAGTGACTGTCAACCTTGGCAGCAGCATGAAACGAAATGTGTGAAATACACAATCAAGAACCTTTGTGCTGGATTTTAAAGTTAGGCCACTTAATTTACCAGCAGATGTCGCTGCATTTAGTAGAAACTGACTGCAGAAAGGGTTTGGAAGGATTTAGAAAGAAAAGAAAGAAAGTAGATCTCATTCTTTTGCCTCCAAAGCAAAGCATCAGGCATTATGTGGTTCATTTTGATGTTGTGGTGATTTAATTAAAGTCGTGGCTCTTGGTGTAAACAACTTACATAAGAATGACCACTTTCAAATCTGGTTCGTTTACTTTGAATTAGTTAATGTGATAGAGCGAAAAGCTTGAAATCACGACTCAAAAGTGAGAAGCCTAAAAAAAGATTACATAGATGGATATAACCAAGATGTGCTACCTGGTCATAAAATGATCTCATGAATTTAAGTAACTCAGTGATGTTTGAGCATTCTGGATTTACAGACTGAACGTGCTGAGATAGAGGAATGCGGTTTCTTCACTGGATGTGTACTTCCCTTGCTAAAATATTTCAAGATTGTTAATACTTTTGTATCAATAGTTTCTGCACATTTGTGTGTAGAAAATGCTAAAATGTTTAAATAGAGTACTCTGTGTATGCTGTGGGGAAAAATAAAACAAGTAATTTTGCTCACTGCTGGTAGAATAATTTTAAATACTGCTGCTTTGAAAAGTTGCAAGCTGCTGTGGAATTAAATGCTAAAAAGCTATTAAAAATTATGGGCAGTTAAAAGCTGCAGGAAGTACTTATGCTTGAAAGTGGGCATTTTGAGCACTTACAGTAAATGTATTCCATTTCTGAGCACACTGATTTATGAAAGCTCTGCCTCCCATTTGTACATGATTACAAACAGACAAATTACTGAGTGACCAGCCAATGCAGCTGTTAGTGAAAGCCCAGAGAGTATAGGCCTGATTAGTTAAACAGGCTGGATCGTTGCCATTTCAGAGGATTCAAGATGAAAAACAAAAACATTTTGAAAATAAATTACATGCTTTAAAACAGTGTGGGAAAGGACATGTAACTGGAAGTAAAAGGTTAAGAGTGCTTTAAAGAAGCAAGGGGACTGCATCATAGAAGTAATAGAATTTGATAGGTGGTGATAATACGATAGAGAATCATGCTAATCCACTTCAGGAAAAACAAAGGCATATTTACAGGCAATGAGAAATATCTCTTGGCTTACTATGAACCTTTTCCTACACTTGGTAAATGAGGGGTGTTTCTGACTTTGTTTGGATATTGTATGTGTCAGTTTCTCTGTCAGAGCTGTATTTGAGTATGCAGTTTTGAAGCTTCACACCATGTGTCCATTGCAGTGCATGTAAGTCTCTGCCACTTGCTTAACTGGTTAGAGGTCTAGGTATTATGTAGGATATTTGGAAGAATGAGGGATTTACATGTTTCTAAATAAACCTGTAAACAAAAAGTTTTATTTAATGTTTATAAAAATTTCCAACCAGCACCCTTTCTTTACCAACAGAAAGGGAATGCATATCCAGTGTTTGATCTTCTTTCAAACATAAATATTGTTTGAGCGTTTAAAATCACAGATATGTTGGCTGGAAGGGACTTTTGGGTGTCATAGAATCGCAGAATGGTCTGGGTTGGAAGGGACCTTAAAGGTCATCCACTTTCAACCCCCTGCCACACACAGGGACACCTTCTACTAGACCAGGTTGCTCCAAGCCCCATCCAGCCTGGCCTTGAACACTGCCTGGGATGGGGCAGCCACAACTTCTCTGTCCCAGTGTCTCGTCTAGCCAAAGCTCTTGCTTGGAGCAGTACAGTTGATAGCACTGGATTAAACCAATTCCATGTGTAGACTCTTGTACTACTTTAACTTCATGAGGTTTCTGTTTTCCAGTCATGCAGCTTCTCAGTGCCCCTTTGAAGTGAAGGTATACCATTGAGCATGTCAACCGTCCCTCTAATTTAGTATCATCCGCAAGTTTGCTGATGGTACATCCTGTCTCATCATCCAAATTATTGGTAAATTTGTTGAACTCTGTCAATCCTGAGGTACTCTTACAGTAACTGGAGCAACTTGAAGCCATCAAGTCTTCAATTCTGACTGCCTAGGCAGTTTTCAACTATTCCAGCTGTCTGTCTGGCCTCAGTTACCTAATGTGTATGCCATGGAAGATGGTGTCAAAAGCCCTGTAGGTCAGTCAAGGTGTACTGTATCCATTGCTGTCCCCTTAACTGTGTGACCACATTTCATCACAGTAGATGCTCAGATCTACCAAATATAATTTGGTGTTGGTAAATCTGTGTTGCATCTCTTTGATTACTTTCTATGCTTTCATACAGCTAAAGGGACAAGCTTTGAGCGTGTCCCACACCAGTGGCTGAGGTGGTGTTGACTGGACACAGGCAATGCTTCTTGCCTCTCTTAAAAAATGACCACACATTGGTCCTTTTCCAGTCCACTGCAGACTTTCTCTGATAACTGTTTTTCATAGGTAACACACAGTTGCCTCACTAGCATGTCAGCTGTGTCTCTTGGCAACCTTTGAGTGTAACCCCTCTGGCTCTGCATTTGAATAAATCCAGCTTCTCTAAGCAGTTGCTGGCCCCACTCCTACTTATTCCTCTCCTTCCCAAACACTGCTGGTCTGGGTGCAGGCTTTGTCTGTGAAGAATGAGGCAGAAAAGCTATTGAGTATTTCATTCTTTTCTACACCATCTGTGACAAGGTTGTCTTCCCTTTCAATTGATGGATGCACATTTTCAATTCTTTATGATACTTTTGTACTTTTCAGATTCCTTCTTGTTGCCCTCTATGTCTATTGCTAGTTTCAGCTCCAGGTGAGCTTTGGCCTTTCTGATTTAAAGAAAGTAAAGGGTGAAAACAGGCCATGTCAAACAGTGTGTATTTCAGTTAACAAATATTTATTTTTCAGGAGCTGGTGGTTCTGGCCCAGTCATCATGGCTTGTGCTACTATTCATGTGGGTTTTACTGTTCCTCAGTTACTGAGAGGTGTCAGCAGAATTCTTCCCACTCATTCTGCATTGGTGGTGTTGAGGCACTCTGCTTTTTGTTACTGCACAGTGAACAGGTGGGTTATCTACAGACAAAAACTCTTTTTACCCAAAGAGAATGTCATGGTAACACTGTCAAAATGAATCTGATAAATTATTACAGACCTAGAAATACTTATTTAACTCCCAATTATATATTTTTACTTAATTCTTACTTAGATTTATGTCATCTGTAGTCCAGATTACACTGGTAAATTGTTATGTTAATAGAAATTCGTATCAGTAAGGGACAGTAGCACAGCTGTCAGAATGACAATTATCTTTGTTGGCTTTTTGTTGCAGCACAATAAAATCAAAAAGGAAAATGGATCATCTAGAGAGGACAGCAAACAATTTTCGCCAGGAGGTTAGTGTTCTGTGCTTTACGATGTAAGTAATTTTTTTGTGTGTGTGAAGAAACTGGGTAATTACATTTGGTTTCGTATTGTCTTCTGCTGGAGTCTGTTTTACTTCTTTTTCTTCTCATTTTTTGTATTTGATACTGTTATAAAAAGAAATGTATTTTGCAGTCAATGAGTGGAATGTAATGAGTTATAAAAACTGTGGGTGATGTTTAATTTATATTGGACAGGAAATTTGATAGAATTCTGGCCAAGTTTTTGGATTCTGGTAAGTTACAAAAGCACACGGATACCCATGATCTCTACACAGGCTTCTCAGTTTTTTATGGCTTGCTGTAATTCTGGTTCAAAGTTGAAACTAAAGACTGTGGAATATATCCTTTTATAATATAGGAGGTAAGGTTAAAAAGTGTTGACATTTTGAGGGGAGAGATGATAGACACTTATAAAAAGGATCTTTAGTTTGTTTCTAATTTAATTCACATACAAGGAAGATAGATCATTATTCTCCACCAAAATCCATAAATGCTTATTCTGGATCTTGGTTTTGTGCAGTAAGCAATCGTCTTCATAACATTCAGAGGTGAACATAGTCTTGTATTTCATGCAGGTATTTCCTTCCTGTAATTAGCTGAAGTAGATGTTTAGAAATCTTTTAATACTGGGAGAATATGACTTCAATTCTCAAAAATGTTTCAATAGCAAAACAATTCTGCATTTTTCTTAGACTTTTCAGGATTAGTAGGGTGCTTTTTTTCACTGAAAAAATCCCATCTTTAATTCCCAGGAGTTGGGAAACAGTGCCAAGTTTTTCTCCATTATTTAGTTAGCTTCTTTGTCTTGAATAGGCAGAGACATGACAGGCCAGTCTTGCATGTGTCATGCAGCAGGGCAATCTATTCTCACACTACACAGATGTTAATGTGCATTCGTGTGTATAATTTGGTTCTTCTCTCTGCTAGATTTTTCCCTAACTATAGTTGAGAATACGTCACAGTGAATTCCCTTCTCAAAAGGAAGCTGGGTGGAGGGGATATGTAGGTAACCTCCAAAACCTGAACATTCAGAAGTTGTTACAGGCTGTAGATGGATGATACAAATGCAGCCTTGTGCTGCTTATTACCAGAGCTGTCAAGGTGTGAGCCAGCTTTAGGAACTATGTGTCTCAGAGCTCTGCCTGAGCTACTCCCACCTAATGTCACCTCGAGTACAAATTAGCATTGCATGTGGACATACAGCTGCTCAGGAGAATCCAATTTATGCCAAATTAACTCAGTACATGGAGAAAATGAGTGTAGAGTCAGGCAGAGGTAGATGCACATTCTTCTTTGCTTCTGACGTGGAAAAAATGATTGCACTTTTGAGTTTTGCAACCATGTTTATTTTATTTTGGGTATTTCTGATTGCTTGGGTTGCTTAGCATTTATGCTGAGCAGAAAAAGTAGGTACCTGGAAAATGTGTGGAAAATGGATCCTTATGAGGTGTTGGAAGCCCTGAGGTTGAACAGGGAATGGGAACTGTAAGGCCGTAGGAAGAGAAGGAAGCTGAATGGGACAGATGAAAGAGCAGGGCTCAGTTTTTGCTACCACAAATTTTCAGCATATCGGAGGATTGTGCTGTTTCCTTTTTATTTAATGCTTGATTTATTTTTTGTTACTTCATTTGTGACCACTTTAAAATCTGGGTTTTTTTTTAATCCTCTGCTTGGTTTTGATTTTCATGTAATCAGCAGTTGGTTTCCCTCATTCTGTATGGCCTTATTTGGCCATTTCAGTCCTGTAGAAAGATGAAAGAACCATAGATCTGTGTTGCATTAGTGTACATGCTACACATCGTTCCTGTTAAGGAGCGGTAATGTGAAGGACCAGGGCAAGGAAAACCTGCCAAAACCTTTCTTGAAATATGAAGTCTGGAGTCTTGTGTCCTCTTCCTTCTCTCTGCAGCCTTGGTTTGGGCCAGTTGGATACTCTTGTGATGGTGCAAAGTACTGGTTGAATGCCTTCGATCACCCTGGCTCAAATTTCATTTTTGTAATAACTTTATACTGATGAAGAATTAAATTTCCAGTGCCCTGTTAGATCTACCAGCCAAAGAACAAATTAGGGAGTGTGCTGAGGAGTACAAAAGGGAATGAAGAAGATCCAAACTTAATGTCCATTTCCTGCACTTATGGTTTCCTCCCTCAGAACAAGCATGTAAGTCATGGGTCTGACATTTCTCGTTAACTTAGAGTGATTGCAGTCCCCATTTAATACTGTCTGCTAAAGTGGAAAAGAAATGTATGCTACTTCATTTTAAATTGGTACATGTCCTGCTGTTTAATGGGACAGTGGATGTGTTCAGATGTTGCCTTATGAATAAATTAATTTCCTGCCATGTGTTTTAAATTAGAGGATAGTTGCTTAAAGTTTTGGGGTTTGTTTTTTTTTCATCTGTTTGATCTTATACAAATGAGCAGTGGTGGAGTTGTGGTGGTATTATTAGTGCTTCCTGGTGTGGTAAATGACACCAGTATATATTAACAAAGCAAAATCTGTATATTGCCCTGTGTAGAAAATACTTAGGGTATTGTTTTCTTTTAGAGGAAGAAGGTTAATAACTATAACTCAAAAATACCTGAAAGTGAAGGTCAGGGAGGGGATGAAAATCCATGCTGTACTGATAGGCATCAAAGAGTTGAAGTGGGATGCTCCCCATGAACAGTCCTATTGCAAAATCTGCTTTTCATTTAGAAAAGCATTATATTTCTCTTAATTCTTATTTAAACTCTTTAAAAGTGGTGTCAGGTATGGCTCTGCCATCCCCCCCCATCTGGTTGCCAAACAAAAATTCTTCTGTTAACTAGCAATGAATGCTTGTGTTAGTTTTCTTGTCTTCATACATGTGGTCAAATGGGTATGTGTGTAAATGCAGTAACACAAGAGTTGTTGGCTTGTTGATTGGTGTGTTTTGTTGTTTTTTTTTTCCTTAATTCTCTATGTATTAATGCATAATCTTTCAGTAATGCATTTAATTACTTGAAACTAGATACAGATCTGGAATTCTTCAGTAGCAGCTGATCTTGTACAAGTTTCCTTTGTGAGTCTGTATCAGAGATCTTTTTACTTTGTTGCTGGAAGATACAGGAGTGATTGCTTGTACAGATGACAAAAGAATCTGAGAAGTGATAACTAGCAATTGCTTCTCCTTATTGTTACATTCTCTTCAACTGAAATAACTTTGTGCACAATCTTTGAATAGCCCTGACAAAAATGACAGCCATGGTGGATTGTAAGTAGAAAACTATTTCTCCATTCAGTGACTGTGTAAGTGAATCCATTTTTGTTTCTCTACCTTAGTGAAAAAATGCTGCTGCTTTAGGTAATGACGTGCCACAGATACCCATCATTTTGCATGTTCTCTCATACACAGATTTCTGGAGTACTTTTGCTGCAAATGATCTCTATGTAACACAAGGTCTTATTCTCTTTTGTTAGGTAATTTCACAAGCAAAAGTGTGTGGAATCAGCAATGAATCGGAGACAGTCAAAAGGCTTCGTTTGGCTATCACAAATAAAGATTTTACTTTCAAAGCAGGACAGTGGTAAGATCTTCCAGTATTTGAGAGGAAAATTACTAGCAGAAGTGCACTGTAATAGAATGTTAAAAGGCTTCTGATACTTGAGCCTTGGAAAAAATCCTTAATTGATACAATACAATGTCTTCTTACTGGGTGCTCTGTCAACCAACTGATACTTGGCATAATTTTAAACCAGCCATTATTAAATATGCTAATAGTAATTTTAAAAAGAGCAAAACCTACTAATTCTTTAAATGTTCAGTTTGATTGTTTGGTATTTTCCTCTGGTTTATGCATATTACATTGTTTCTTCAAGAGTGCTTTGAAGTACACTGCACTTCATTCTGCAGGCTGTCTTTACTGTCTTTATTTACTAGTTATATGGTGGAGCTGAGACTGCTGATTCGCAAGTTACTTAGTTTGGGTTTATAATTAAATCAAAATTGCCTGTTAACTTTTATTTCTTGCCCTAGAAGTTTCCACCCCGAAAATTAAGCCTGTTAGGTCAAATTAATAAATATAGATAAGCAAACCTGAAAATAAAACCCCCTGGAATTATTAAGCCTTTGAAATAATGAGCTGTTTGTTTAAGCAACCTTAATGTTTTTTTCCTAGGGAAATAGTAGATTTTTATGTTTGTCTTCATCCCTTGTTAAAATACTCTCACTCCATCACTTTTTTTTTCCCTCTTAGAAATTAATTTAAAACTAGGAGTAGTTGCTTCTGGCATTTGGCATTTAAAGGTTCTTGAACTTTTTATTGGCTTAGGCCATCTGAAAGTGGTTTTGCTGGAATCAAAGTATAGCTGCTAGGGTATTAACAGCATATGTTACTCATGTAGTGTTAATATGCTGGCTTTTAAATTTAGAAGCAGAACACAAGATGTTGATTGCAATAATTTGTTTGTGGAGTGATTTGCTGCAGTTTTTGCACATGTGCAGTGACTCATATTAAATTCTTGCTTGCCAGTACTTGGAAAGTGCATTTACCCTCCAAAAATGTTGTAGAAATTATCATGTTGAAAAGGGAAAGCTTTAATTATAATTACTCTTTTTCATTTTCTTCTTCCTTGAAAGTATTCTAATGCTATTGTAAGGTATACAGCAACTTTTCTATACTTGTAGCTGTAAACTGTGGTCGCATTTTTTGATGAACTCTGCAAAACATGAGGCCACAATTTCCTGAGTAGAAAAGGCCAACTTGTTAGAATTTGCTATAGTAAGATGTTACAAAGATTGTCACCAAAATGTGTATGTTTCTTGAAAGTGTTGTAATTACCAAGTTTTTCAGAAGCAAGAGCGAATTTGTTTTGTAAGCATGCTGCCAGATAGTGGTCTTGATCTGGCTTCAAGTAATAATGAAGAGACCTGTTGCTGGTGCCCATTTTGATTTACTAAAACATGCATCGAGGTATATGCGGCCTTGGGTGATATGATTTAGCATAGGGTGTCCCTGCCCACGGCAGGGGGTTGGAACTAGATGATCTTAAGGTCCTTTCCAACCCTAACGATTCTATGATTCTATGCATGTTATAAATACTTTGAAGAAGTAGTGTTATGGTTTTAATGTTTCTGATCAAACAATTGCTAATTATTATTTGTTTCTCAAAGATTTGGCTTTTCCCTTAAAAGGATGGAAATGAAAAAACACCGTCAAATCTATTTTACATCTTTTCAGACCTGAACTTGTTGTGGGTTTATATAGTTTGGTTTTTTGTTTCCTCCCTCCTCACTCCCACTGCTCTTCTTACTTCAGCTGTCACAGATAGCATTTCTTTAGGGAGTCCTCGTATCTTTCCCCACACAACTTAAGATGAGGCAGGCCATCAGAAATAGAAGCCAGTCCATTATAATAGGGTATACCATGCCCTGAAATTTCATATATTTATGTAACTGGGAAAGAAATACTAATATAAAAAGAAACATACACCTACGCTAGTACTTTAGAAAGGCAAAAAGTACATTTGAGTTGTGTTTTACAGCAATGTTTGGTTTTGTGTGTATGTTTCCTCAGCAGGCACAGATAATATTTCACTTATATTCAAGTAGAACATTTTGATTTAAATGTAAGCTGTTACTTTACAGCATAAATGTAATTTCCTTTTTCCTTTTCATTAATGTACGTAGTAAGATTATTTTCCACCAGAGGGTAGTAAAGAGCTTTAGTAGCATCTTGTGGTGTTCTTTGATACAATAAATGCTGCAATACAAGAGTCCTTTCTAATCTCTTAGATCCTTATTACCTAGAAAGCTGAGCCCATGGTCAGTGGGGCTGGAGAAGCCTTCTCAACTGTTTTTGTTACTGACTTTTCATTTGCAGTCAGATACCTTTATACACCATCAAGCATAAAGTTAAAAGTGATATCACTGTAATATTGTGTATATCACTGTACATGCTTCAAGAGAAAGAGAGGAACTTTTTCTTAGAAGGGTGAAGCTTTGTGGAGAGTAAGCAGACAAGATTCTTTCTTTAAAAGCAGTGAACTGTTCCAAGGGCTTTTCTCCTCCCTCAGGAATTTGTGATCACCATGAGGAATACAGCCTTGCAGTCTGTATTTCTTGTTGTATTCTCATTTAACTAATACTGAACCAGTCTAACTCGGGCTTGGATTGCATAACGATTCTGTAGTATTTGGCATTGCTTACCAGTCTACTTGGTTCCTAAGTGGAACAGCACAATTAGTTTTAAACATTAGTTTTCTTTTGAAATACAGGGAGTTTGTCATGTACTGTAGAAAACCAAAGTATTTAAACACGTATGCAACACAGAGGAGTTTAAATGCTAGATCATAAACCAGCTTCTAACTTTTCCTGATGCTATTTGCAATATGAAAGCCTTACGTTTATGAAAATAAATTATAGCTCATATGTGTTAGTGACTTGCCCTCCCTACTCTCTAACTGTTGGTGTTGCAAAAGCTTAGCCGTGTCTCGCCTTCTAATCTGTAGAATCCCATCTGTAGAAGTAATCTGCTTTACTTCAACTGTAAAAAACTTGCAGTAATTCATTCCAAATTCCTCTCAAGAGATGGCTGCCACCAGAGGGCACCGCAGGTAAAGCGATGCTGCTGCTAGGCTCTGCCTTCTCACATGAGGAATTCTGTGCAGACTGAGGTATTACTTCAGGTATTTCATATTTCCTGAAAAAGAAAGCGTTTAATCTAAGGTCATTTCCCTAAAATTAGTTTCCCAATCTTCTTATGCTGGAAAATTGAAGAGCCCACCAAAGGGACCAGAAGGAGTGGGATTTAAGCCACTCTTATCGGACCATATTGTGGTTTTGGTTTAATATGCAAATAATTTATTTAAACACTCAGAATTCCAGTCTGTTGGAAGATGTGGCATCTAACGCCAAAAGTAGAATGGTTTAAAAACCTGCTAGTTTAACAAAGGTGGTGACATGTTTCTAGATGAAAATAATTCTAAGGAAATTGCATTACTCAAGATCAAGTCCTTCTTTGGAAAAGCTGTGTTGTGGAAATGAAGATGTTTTTGTACAGAAAGGATAACAAGCAAGGGCAGCCATGTGATTGTGGTTATTGTTTTCCATGTTTGGGGTTGTTGGCTTTTTATGTTTTTTGAGGCTTTTGTTTCTGATCTATTTTTAGGGTTGATTTCTTTATTCCTGGAATGTCTGTAGTTGGGGGATTCTCAATGTGTTCAAGCCCTGGCCTGTTGAAACGAGAAGGAATATTAGAGCTGGCAGTAAAGCACACTGATCATCCTCCTGCCCACTGGATTCACACTGAGGTAAATAAGACTGTGAGATCTGGCTGCTTTTTTATCTTTCTTTATTTTTTTGAGGAGGGGGAATATGGAGGAACTGGTGTGTGTGATTTCAGACCACATTTTGCTATTAACTGCAAACCTCCCGTTGAATTATTCAACCATTTTTAATACAATGTAAATCTTCAAATCTTTTGTTCAGTAAGGGACTGAAATTGGATGTTAAATTGGATGAAAACCCTCTCTTCTAATTTGTGTCCCTGAGAGCAGGCTGTGTTACACATTGCAGAGTTACATCTGGTAACTTGCCATGGTTCCTGCCTATTTCAACAAATACAAACTGGGAATCATCGTCAGATGAATACAAATAGAGATAATTAAGGGAGAGCAAAGGGAGATATTTAGAACAGTTTTTCTGAAATGATAAACCAGCAGAATACTTCAGAATTTCTATAGTATTTGTTTAAACATGCAGTATTCTTGTAATACTGGCGTAACCCAAGGCTTGACTTTTGCTGTATTAAAAGTGAAGTCTGACACTTTGGCCTCTTGCAGTCCCTTGTTTGTCCATTTACCCCATTTAGTTGTAATCAGAAGAGTCCTATATCTGTTGCTGATCATATTTCATAGGTGATCTGTCCTATCAGCTTTTGTTCTTTCACAACCACATATGATCTGTCCTATTTACTGTTCCCAGCCTGGCATTTATATTTCTTAAGTGTGTCTGCAAAGCTTAAATTGGCAGATTCTTGTAGCCTTACAAATGCTGCAGTTTTGTTCAGTGGCCAACACTTATAATAAACGTTGATGCAAATTTAATAGAATCAAGAACATGCAGAGTGGTGCTAATCTAGTACTGAGCATGTGACCATCCACATGGTAGATTTTAACTGGTGTCATATCAAGTTATCTATCTCCACTGGAACATAAACAGAATAACCTTTTTGCAATGTTGTGCAGGACTTTGAGTGCACGTGCCAGCAGACCCTGTAATGCCTAAGAGGTTTGTCTGGCTTTTGATACTGCTCCTTAAGAGAATAGGAAAGCCTAACTTCATCATTCCCAGTTTCTGAAGACTCTTCTGGGATTTTTGATGCAGAATTTAGAAGGTTGTGTATGTGATGAGAAAAGTCTGGTACTTAATTGTTTAGAAGTTAGTTCTGAAAGAAGGTACCTCAGGGTAAAAGATGTTATGGAAATAGTACTCATTTACTCACTGTTCCTGGGTTTTTAGGGGTGTTTAATTTTTAATACTACTATATATAAAACCATAACTTTTAGCACAGTGTATTTTATCACTGTAGGGATTCATAGCCTTTTCTTTAGAAAAATGCACATGTAATGTATTGATTGCTTCACTTCTCTGCATGAACTCTTTCAGTGCTCTATGTACAAAGTGGGCAAAAGGACACTTTCTCACCATATTACTCCAGAGTCTTATTGTTTGGCTTTTTTTCTTGAATACTGACTTACTGTTACCATTGCCATGGCCGAAGCACTGAAATATATAGGAGACTCCTGGTTAAGAGAGATTCTCCCTGTGTGCTATGTCCAGTCTTGATGAGTTCTGGCTGGTTAAGGAGGCAGATCAGACAATAATGAGATTGTGTTTCTCCCTAAAAATGTCTATTTCCATAAAGGGTACCATGTCCTATGTACTCCTGCCACATGAATTTGGAACACTTCTGGACTCGTGCGTCTCTCAACCAGAATCAAACATGGGAAAGCTTGGCAGCGTACATTGGAAAGGGGAAGACAAATTAGTTTTAGCTAATGAATGCTGATTGTCTTACGCTCTCATTGAGAGCAAATACTTTATGCAGTAATTAAGAAAGGCAGAAAACTTTTTTTTACTGGCTGTGCTCACCACTTCAGGAACCTCTGTGCTGTGTGCAGTACCCGTGTCCAAAAGCCTCCTCCCTTTTCCTGGTAGAATTGTTAGGTGTTTAGACCTTTGCTTACTGTACACTTGTCATTAATGGAAGTCCTTTTGTTCAATTACCGCTTCCTGATACCGGCAGTTTTTGGAGGCAGTGTTTTTGTTCTGTAAGTGATTCATTGCAGGTTTTCAGCAGTTCTTGTAGCTTTCCTTTTTTTCTTTTTTCCCTTCTCCTTTCCCAACTTCTTTGGTTTCCTCTGCTCTTTGTTTTTTAAACCCAGTATATGGCCTGAAATGAATTCTGTTTTCAGCTCCAATTTGTTCTGTGAGCTTGCAGTGAGGTGGGAGAACTCACCTGACTTCTCTGTACTGTAGTTTCACCCTTCATTGCGGGATGTGGTCCTGGGTTACTGAGAAAATGCTGACCCAAATGGGGATTTTTTTTGCTGCAGCTTTAGTTTTCCATGCATCAAAATAACAAGCTTTGGCAAATTTCTGTAAGAAAAAATTTCTTACGTATAAGTGGAGAGGAGGAGAGGTGGTTTTCCCCCGCTTTTTCTTCTTCTGCAACTCTGAAGTTGGAAATGCCAAAGGGGTTCTGCAGGAATATTCTCATGGATACTTGCTTCACTTTGGGTGGTTTTTATTTTTTCAGGAATGGGGATGGAAAACCTGCATCTGTGCCACTCATTCTGGCTTCCTTCTCTGACCTCATAGCAAGGCCTCTTTTGACATGAGGCTGGGTCTGGGTAAAAGTGTGATCTCACACATTAACCTCGGGTTTTCACAACCGCATCTTGCTATGGAAAAACTCTTGCATGAATCACTCCTGTCCCAGCTCTTATGGGGGGGAAAGGGGGAGTCATCATCTTGCCTTATCAGAAGAGTGAAACTTTTGAAAGGAGAACTAGATCCCTAGAGACACTGAAGCAGACTAAAACAAACATGGTTTCCAGCTGTCTGAACTGTTTCAGCTTTCCCTCACTGGTCAATAAAAATCTCAGCCCAGAGAGTCTTGTGACTGTGGTGCAAGAAGAAGTGTATTTCAGCTTTTGCTTTGAGTTTTGAAAGTAAATGTCTTCTTTTCCATCCTAGTGTACTCTTGACTCAGAAGTTGCCCTGCGAGTGGGAGGTGATTTCTTCTTTGATCCTCAGCCTGGTGACTCCCCTGTAAAACTAGTGCTGATAGCAGGGGGTGTTGGAATTAACCCATTGTTTTCTATACTGCTGCATATAGCAGATCTGCATGGATACCAAGAGGGTAAAGGAAATGGATACAAAATGGGAACAGTGAAGCTGTACTACAGTGCAAAAAATTCAAGTCAACTCTTATTTAAGGTAAATTAAAAGTTGGGGTTTTTTTAAATGTAGATCTCAGATACTCAGCTATTAGTGTGTGTATCATCCTGTTGCCAAATTCCAGAGAGCCCCTCTGTGGAAGACACTGCACAAACACATTCAAAATTCACTTTATGCTTCTAACCCCATGTGTGTTTTGTTACTTATGCCAGTGGACAAATGAAACGTGTTATTGGACATACCTGGTCTCATTGACTGCACTAAGTCAGTTACATTTTACTATCATGTCATAAAAGCATTATAGTGTATGAAAGATTATATATAATATATATACACACACTAATAGTATACATAATGCTGTATGCTAAAACACTGTAACCACAGTCTCAGTATAGATTGTATTGAACTTAAAGACTAGCAAGAGCAACTATAGCCAAAGGAGATAGCTCCCAATATAATAGGGGAGCTTTATTGATAATGCATTAGTTTAGTTATTATCGGGTACTAGTTTATGAATGAAGGATTTATACCTAGTTGTAAAATTGCTTATACAGTGTGTCAGTAACATTTACTTAGCAGTTAAAGATAGTTGTCACACTCGGCCATTAAGGTTCACCAGTAACATTGTAGGGTCAAATTAGCAGAGTTTCGGTAAATCATCCCTAATGACTGAAATTTCTTTTGAAGTACTGAAAGATTTTGATTGTAAGAAAGAGGTGAAAATTTATCATGATCCCAGAAATCGTGTGTAGGATCCATCATTACCTTTTCTTCTGTATTGGCACTGTGATTGATTGCTTCCTTTGGAAAATCATGTTTGTTGTTAGAAGCACTGGAACCTACCTACTCTTCTGTTTGGCCAGCTAGTGATCTCCCAGCCTGTTCTAAGCATACACTGAATTTATTTCAGTGCAGGAACTAACATTTCCTAAGTAAGTGTCACTTCAGCAGTGTTACGACAGCAAAGCTTTTGTGTTAATGCTTCTGGGACAGAAGAGAGCACAATAATGTCACAGTGCTTAAAGTACATCCTTCCCCTCAAGTCCAGAACATGTATATGGAATATCTCCTGTGCAGAGGATTGAGGAACTGAGGATCCCTCGAGTCTTTATGCTGTTGTGAGATACATCTGTATAACTCTTCAGGAGGAACTGCTTGGTTGTCACTAATGGTTTGAAGGACCAGTTCCCTGCAGAAGCAGCTGTGTGTAGGCTGACAGGGATGGAGGACGATGCTGATGTAATCGGTTTAATCCTCATGTTGGCTGTGCTGTCATTTCACAGGCAGAGTCACTGTGTGTGCTGCTGGAAATCCCGTTGTTTAAAATGGCAGAAGCAAAGTGTTAGAATGACAAAGAGATGGCATCCTAACTTTGCTACTGTGAGATGGCAGTTAGCTGGGCTTTCCTGATTTCATGTGGAATGAACGTGACCCGTATTTCCTTATTCTGGCTGGGATGCTGGGGCTAGGCCTTTTTCCTCAGGGAATTCCCTTAGTGGTCAGCTTCATTATGTACACTAAATTACCAGGCTGCAAAGAGCTGATAAGCTGTTGAAATTCTCCTTCATTTGGTTGGAGAGCCTGTCTCTTGCCTTAGGATACTAGAAAATGGTACTTCGGTGGTTGATATCATGTGTGTATTTGCCACTTTGTGTCCATGTCACTGAATTAGAGAGTGATGGGTTACTAAAAGGTGTTGTGAGTGACTGCAGGATTATTTAAGCAGGTTAAGTCCTACCTTAGGCACGCTTTGTGGCCGAGGCCTAGGACTTTAAATCAAGAGGACGTGGTTAGTTTCAAAGGTGCTATCAAATTCTACATTTTTCCACATGAAGGAGACTGAAGTTTAGAGTCACATCCAGAAAGTGAAAGCAGGTGCTGGTGGAACAGTGAATGGCACTGTCTGTCTGTGCTGCTTGTCACGCTGTGGCTTCTTAGGAAATCAGAAACTAGATCTGTCTGTAAAATAGAATCTGTCTGGGGGATTGTGTTAAGCAAGCTATGGCAGACTGTCCACTGTAATAATTACTGGGTATGCAAACACATAACAAAATGAGCTAATTTACCTCTTCACAGAGTAGACATTATTTTTTGTTTCGGGATATTTGAAGAAAGAATGTCCAGTGTCCATTCCTGCGGTGAAAATCCCGACTAGCACAGAGTCTAGGCAGTAACTACATCTTGGGTTCAGAACTAAGCGCAGCATCTGACTGACAGATTATTTTTTACTGTGATTTGAACTTCAGCTGCTGGGGTTTTGGTGGGAACTATCACAGTTGTGACTTAAGGAACTGAAAATTACAGTTTCTTTTCTGGAAAAATAGCATTACACTGTAGTTGGTTTTCGTTGGAGAACATGAGAGAAAGAGTAAAGGACCCAGTAATCTTACCAGATAAAGCAGACAAGATTCAAAAAGTTCCTAGCAAGTGGTAAATGCACACTGCAGAGTTTTGTTTTTTAAATGGAAAACCCACAGATGTGGAAGGATCTAAATAATGAGAATTTGTATGTGGTGGAAGTCATCAAAGGACATAAATGGTTCTTGGGTCCAAATCTTACAAATTGCAACCTAGTGTAAAATAGGAGAGGAGCGCTGACAACACAGCTGGCAGTGTATTCACATTCCAGTTATGGAAATTCTGTGTACGTGTGCAGGTCAGTGCTGTGAAGTCAAGTCCATTGAGGTCTCAGTGCAGAAATGCAATAGTCTTGGTGCTGGGTAATAATCACCAGTGTTGTGGGACTGTGGGCAGACATCTGCTCTGATTTACTGGCCTGTGGTGTAAGTGAGTGTTTAACATTACAGAAAAACATTCTTGGTTTGATGAATGCATTTCCTGGAAAGATCATGTGTCATTTCCACGTCACCCAGCAGAGCTCACCCATCTGTGAAGAGCTTCAGCCACATGTTACAGGTAAAGATCATGGCAAGGTACAGCCACGATATCTACAGTCTAAATTTGGTTACATCGTAGAGGATGAAGTTAAATGCATAATTTAGCTATATGCATAGTAGTATTTTTACATGTAAAGATTCAAAATGAGATGCAAGTTAAACCTAAATAATTTCACTGTATGTATTGTGCTTTGCAGAAACATTTTACCTTTGCAGTTTTTGTTTTCATTTCTAATAACCCTCCTCTGTTAATTCCAAGCTTTATACAAGAATTTCCCACTACAAATTTTATTCCAGAAACTATTAAGCAAAGTGTTTACTTTGCTGAAGGTGGGATTGATGAAGGAGAAGCTAACTGCTTCTAAGGGACACTTCACATTTCCCCTTCTGTTGCATTTGTGTTAGAGATACCTGTTTTTTTTCATCTGAACGTGGGATTTTTAGTCATACGTAAACCATGTTCCTCTTCAGTGACTAATGCCCTATGCCTTCGAACTGGAAGTACCGAAATCCCCTGAAGAGCAAATGGGTTTGGAAGCCTCCAATCTTGGTAGCGATTATCCTTCAACAGGCTGGGCATTTTTAAGAGATGAGAGCTTAAAATACCTCAACCCAGTCATTCTCTTTGAAATTACTTCCCCATTAATATTTCTTTTCTTGTTTCCTACTTCTTTTTTGTCAGAGGGAAGAATATCTGAAAAGGATCTAGAAAAACATGTATCCAAGGATACTGTATGGTACATCTGCGGTCCACCTCCGATGATAGAATCCATATCCAAACTCCTGTCTGACATTGGTGTTCCTAGAAACTGTATTTTCTTTGAGAAATGGTGGTAGTGACACCTGCTGAACAGAGAAGATGATACTGTTTTTTTTTCTAGTGTATTTTGATAAGCTAAAATGTACAGAAATGGACTATGAATTATTTGGAAGATTCTATTATTTCACACAGGAATACGTCCTCAATCATGAGAATGTTCTTTTAAAGTAACCATAATACAACTGTAATGCTGCTGCTTTGGGGGAAAAAATGATTTTATATTAAAGACATCAACTGTTCTGTTTTTTTGATGGGCTGCTTAACTTCTTACGGGTAGCAGCATATTTTCACTTTATTCACTTGTTTGTTAGTCAGCTTCTTGAAAGCTGTGGAGTGCCTGATTCAGCAGTTGCAGAGAATTAGTTGTGCAGAAGGGCCAGGTAAGTTTATAACAAATAATAATTCAGGCCACAACTTCTGACTCTGCTCCAAGCTGTTGTGCTAATGACAACACACTGCCTTCCCCAGGTCTGTATCCTTCATTTATATTTTATAGAAGTCAAGTTGCTGTGACTTCCCTCTTGCCATGTCTTCTTAAAAGAAAAAAACCCTGCCTTTTATGTGGTTTATTTAAGTAAGGCAACTGTGCTGACAGTAGAAGACGTGTTTTCATAATCAGACTCAGACCGGAGCTAGGAGTGTTGAGTGTTAGCCTCTGATGGAGCTGGATGGGAGGTACTCACGGGAACCTGCCTCTGTTGCTGGTGCTGTGAGAGCCCATCCAGCTTGAGCTTGTACAGGCCGCGTCCTCTAAAGCAGCTGGGACAGGGCACCTCCATAATCCTGCTGCAGCACTGAGTTTTAGCAGTCTCCAGGAGACACCTGTTCTGTTTGGAAAAGAGTCTCTGAAGAGTTTGCACTTTCAAGGCAGGAGTGTACCTCTGGGTGCAGTGACTGACCCCAGGTCCCTTCCTGAATAAAGCTTCTTTCTCCAACTTGTAGAAAAACTCATCCTAACAATGATGGGACTAACAAAAAGCCATAATGAGTTTGTTAAACACTGCTGTAGGCAGTTCAAGTCCTTAAGTGATGGAGATTCCCACTGTACATTTGAAGACCTCAATAAGGAACATTTAAATTACTAAAAAGCTTAGATTATTATTGAATTATTAAAAATGCTAAAGATGTAAGGCCTTCTCTTTGTTAGTGCCTCCTTTCCTTGAGTTACGTTTCAGACAACAGCCAAATAGGTAACGCAGCAAGTTTCTTGCTCTCAACATCCCTCTGCTCCGCCTTCAACAGAGGTTGCAAAGATACCGATCCCATCACCCAATTCCCAGGCTGCAGCAGTACTGTCGGTGTGCAGCACTTTATATATTTCAAGCATAACTTCCAGTGTCTGGCTAAAACAGCCTGCAGCCCAGCTCTAGTCCTCCCAGAGAGTCATTTCAGCTCTGGATGCTGGGTTTAGCTTTGAGCGTTAACCTCTTTTTACCTGAGTCTCTGATAGGTTTTAAAGCTTGTACCTTCTGCCACATCCACATTCACCTCAAGCCTCAGTGATAACCTTGCTGGGAAACTGCAGCCCCTTTTTTGTCTGCAGCACAGGAGTACAGCTGCAGTTGTTGCAGAAGCTGAGTGAACAACTGAAATGTCCTAGTGCTTCCTGGGAGTCAAAGAGGGTGCCATGATGAGAGAGTGCCTGTGAGTTTTCACCTTCTGGTGCCTGCAGCCTCATCCACTGAGGTTTGTTTTTCTGTAGCGTGCAGCAATACAGGCAGCCAAAATGAGCTGTGGCTGCAGCCCCAGGGGGGATGTCTCATCACATTCCCTCCCGCACATATGAGGAAGATTCTTTCCAAGTCCCCCCGTTTCAGGGGATGGTTCCTTGTTTGTTCACTCTGGAATGTAAATAGGACAGTGTGCTTGTCACAGAAAATAAAACCACAGTGGTTTGTGTTCTCAGAGATGGCAATTGACATGTCAGAGCTTGGTGCTTAGAGGAAGCAGGCTGGGTGTTTTTCTAGGAACATGCACTAATAGCTATTGGAAAGTCCTGGTGCCCTAAAATAAAAACCACGCATGATGCTCCTGCATGCTTATCAGTGTAATGACAAAGAGGTTCCAAGAAGCCTTTAAATGCTGGTTTTTGTATGACTGTTAAATCATTACATGCATAATGAACTGGTTTACCCTTTTTTTTCCCCCTTAATGCACAGACTTTCTTCAGTCCAAGCGACATCACGTTCACAAACCACTCCTCAGCCTTGCACCAAAATGTCCATTTAACAAAAGGCATTTCAGACCCCCTTATCTCGGCAATCCTACTCTTTTCCCTCTAACCTCTTTCTGTCATCCCCTGTTATAATCAGACCAGTGCTTTGGGGCAAGGACACATCTCGCTCATTGTATGGGCTCACCCGCTTGAGGAGCAGCATTAAACACACACAGAGAACGTTGAAAGATGAAGAAAACAATTCCTTACCTCCCCACCTCAAATAGCAGGAACCTCAGCTCTAAGTTCATTCTTACCTCGCATGGTAATCCTGCCAAAGGGCACTGAACTCCTTTTTGCCATCGTGTTTGTAATGGGAATAAATGCCATTTCTGAGCCAGGAAGCCAGGGAAGGTGTTAACATCCCTTTTCCTCCGTAGCCTGTTCCTGTTGACACTTAAGAATATTTTAGAAGACTCATCTTTAGCCTAGAGTCTAGTGGTCTTGTGGCAAAACAGCAGTTTCACCTTAAACTATGTTACTGGATCCGACTCCATAGTAATTAAATATCAGGAATTAACATGAAGGTGGTGAGGCCCTGGCACAGGTTGCCCAGAGAAGCTGTGGCTGCCCCATCCCTGGCAGTGCTCAAGGCCAGGTTGGACTTGAGAGGCTTAGAGCACCTTGTCTAGTGAAAGGTGTCCCTGCCCATGGCAGGGGTTTGGAACTGGATGAGCTTTAAGGTCCCTTCCAAACCATCCTGTGATTCTGTAATTGAAGAGAGGGAAAGGGAAATAAATAAATAATTAAAAAAGAAAGAAAATTCTCCTATACATGAAGATATCTCTACAAGTAATTAAATGAATGTGCTATTAGCCCACACTGGTGGGAACAGAGAGCAAACCCTGCTCTTCAGCAGCTACTGAGGTGGAGAAACATCCTCATCACATCACTGAACCATAACGTGGCATATTAGAAACTGCTTTTTCCTCTTACATTTGTGCCATCAGCTCAGGGGCAACTACACAGAAAAAGCAGACTGATACTTCTCTTTTTTTTTCCAATAAAATGAGGCATGCAACGTGTCTCCATCTACACATTTAAACTTAGTGAGATAGATCGCAGTTACCTAGTGCTACAGCCTTATTAGACCAAGTCTTTCTCTCCTTCTCGTGACACACACTTTACCAGTTCACTGCGTGCTCATTTGGTACAATGAATATAAAGTATTCCTATAGGATTTGCATTCATTAACTGGAAGCAGAGTCGCTATTCAGTCATCATTACCTCATTTTAGGAGCTTTTAGAGTGAATAAGAGAAAGCAACTAAATGGAAAAGCCTTTCTCCCCCCTTCAGCGTCCAGGTAAGGTCCTGATTAGAGTCAGCTGCAACACGTGGCATCACAGGCACCTCTCAGCCAGCAGAGGCTTGGCAAGGATCGCCTTTTACAGCCAGAGGCACAGCTCCACTGACAGGCTGGGAGAGTCACAAGTTGCATCTACAGCTCTGAATTCATAGCTGCACTGGTGCTATTAGCCAGCGTTCCTCCTGCTTTTGAGAAGCATTTATCAGCAAGAAATCAGTATCTGCTCTTCCTATACCCCTTCAGTCTGGGAGGATGAAATGCCTCATGAAAGCTGATGGTGCTTTATTTCTGCCCCATAATTGGCTCCCTGAGGTAAAAGTACAGTGAAAAAGATGGGTCTCCTAATGCAGAGCCCTTCCTCTGCTCACCTCAGAAACTGAAGCTGAAAGAGGAGCCAAATTAGCAAAAAATATGAGTACATTGTTTTATACTTTGCTTCATTTCCATATGTTAAAACTCCTTTGAGCTATTTCAATTATGCTGTTTTCAAGTGTACAGATCCAGTAATGAAAATATGCAAGATGAAGTGCCAAATTGTTTGTGCATTTAATGCCCCCTAAACTCTACAGACACTGTTTTCATGAAGATGCTTCAACGTTTTGAACTTCTCCCCACCACAGTTCTGCCCCGCTGCCCCCCCGCTGTTTCAATGCAAACCTCCTTTTCCATCATTTGTTCAACTCAGCCACTCCTCTTCACTCACCCACCAGCATTTCTTCATTGTCCAAGCTGGATTTTCTCTGCTGAACTCATCCCATTTCACCACTGTCCAGATAAACACTTGCTCTGAACACTGGCATGCGTAATTCCTCCTCCTCCAAAGATGGACCTACACACCTGAATTTTGTTGGTCTAACAAATGAGGACACGTTCAGGTTAAAATACACCAGCATGACACTTGTGTGAGTAGTTGTGCTTCTCTGTCACGAGCCAGTGTAACCATTGGTAATACATGGTAACACAACATCCATTCCTTCCCCAGGCCTGCCAGCAATACTCACTGGAGCCTCCTTCCCTTCAAGAGAGGCACGATAAGGTTAGTTTGCATCCTTACTGGGAGATTCAGCCTAGTTTTGTGGGAAAAACTAGGCTAGGCTTAAAATGGTGCCTCTCTGTGGGAAAAGAAAGGGCCTGGCTTCTCTCTCCACCTTCTGCTGGGGTGACAAAGCCCACTGTGGAGCCAGTGGCTCAGTGTAACTGTGGCTTCTCTGAGTGAGAAGTCAGCATGAAGCCCTGACCCCCACCACGAGCTGAAGGTTAAGGCTGTACCACTGTGGCCACACACAGTCTCACCACTGTTGGTGTATTTCCCTGCATTGGTCAGGTTTCCAGACACAGGAGTTAGGCCCTGGGCTAGCCCTCTCTCTTCTCCATTCTTACTGTAGATGAGGGCATGACTGCTTGCCTTCACTTCCTCCACCACTCTGGTGGTCTTGCGTTTTCAAGCCCCCAGTGGCAAACGCAGCTGTGATAAGATGCACAGAGCAGCCACAGAGCCATGATTCAGAAGTCGGAATTGATTATGTGATTATAAAACCAAAACCGTTTGCCCTTTTTGAACTGAAACCCCTTGAAAGTTCAAATCTCCCCAACTTTAAGCCACCTCGGCATTTAGGTTTAAACTGAGCTTTCACTTAAACAAGTGCAACTTTCCTAGAGACCCTGACATGCTGTGTCAGACACAAAACCAAGCAGCCAGTTCTCTAGCGCTAGTAACAACTG